CCTAAAACATTGGAGCACAAATATTCAAATTTTGTGGGCCTAATACCTTAAACCAACACTAAACTTGGCTCATATTATTAATACCCTCCCCAAACTATGCCCGGTCTTAATTACCCCCCTCAACTTGGCCTTTTGAGAGCCATTACCCCCCTAGACGCTGATGTGGCAAAAAGTGTGGGTGCACTCACTCGCTACGTGGATTTTCCTATCTATGTGACAATTTTTTGAAAAATAATTTTTTTTTACCTTTTTAAGAATATTACTTTTTAGATAATTTTTTTTCGAATACAATTTATAATAAAACTTGGATAGAACTACATTATTTAGGCTAAATATTTTTATTTGGCAAAAAATAATAAAGTATTAGTTAATCTTTTTTTGAAATTGACCTGCAAATAATGATTTGTATAATTAATAAATAATCAAGGCATCTAAAAAGTTATAAAAAATACATAGTTTGAATAAAAATGAAGTTTTAGTTAATATATATTTTTTTTAATTTGACCTGAAAATAAAGATTTATACAATTGAAATAAATAGTCAAGACATCTAAAAAATTATAAAAAATACATAGTTGAAATAAATGCCTTGATTATTTATTTCAATTGTATCCAAGTTTTATTATAAATTTTATTCGAATTTTTTTTATCTAAAAAGTAATATTCTTAAAAAGGTAAAATAAATATTTTATTTTTTCAAAAAAATGCCATATAGATAGAAAAGTCCATGTGGCAGGCGAGTGCACCCACACTTTTTGCCACATCAGCGTCTAGGGGGTAATGACCCTCAAAAGGCCAAGTTGAGAGGGGTAATTAAGACCAGACATAATTCGGGGAGAATATTAATAATCTGAGCCAAATTTAAGGGTGGTTTAAGAAACATGATCCTTCAACACGTCTATGCTGGACTACTATCATACAACACAATGGACATGACTCATTTTCCTGTACAAAGAACTTCATGACGGGATATCGGATGGTGGTTGACAGAGAAAACTTGAAACTGACTTGGTCACTCTCTGACTGTAAGTACCAATATCTGATCACTAATTGTTTTGGTTTGCTCTGGATTTAACTATAACTGTTTTCTTGTCTATACTTGTGGATGATTAACTTAAATGCTATTGCTCGTATTCTGTTACTTCACTCCTAAAAACCTATTCTTGTGTATTGAGAAGTTGAACTGCAATTTTTTACACCATTGATTGAAGGATAAATAATGGATTGAGAGCCTTTTAAGGTGGATTGTATATATTTTGTAAACAAAACTTGTTTATGCCGGGTAATTAACTAAACATGAATATTAAGAGTAATAAAGTTTCAAATAGTGTATAGAAATGAAAAAATTCCTTTTTAAAAATAAGCAGATTTTGACAGATTGGCCAAACAGGCTCTAAATTGTCAATACACGATTTATTTTACTTTTTAAGGATGACGACACATTTTTAATTTCTCACATTGCTACAAAACTACAAACAAATTATACTAGTAGTAGAAAACTGGAGTATAAAGAAATTATCATTTGCAGAAAATAATACAGTCCATCTACTTATTGAGGATATTACAAGGGTAAAATGGGAAAAGAAAAAAGACCTTTAAACTGAAAAAACAATGAACATCACCTCAGTTCTCCGTCGGGCTCGTAATTACTGGTTTATTACACTTCGATTAGAGGTCCGAGCAATCAATGGCGACAACAAACGGTGACGTTTTAATGCTAGAGGCACCGCCGGAGTCCCGGCCGGCGGTGTGTAGTAGTGCTGAAGTGATCGATGCTTTGCCGTACATTGATGACGACTACGGTGACCCCAAAGTTAAAGAAGAGGTGGACCGTTTGGTCGAAGAGGAGATGCGCCGCAGCTCCAAAAAACCTTCCGATTTCCTCAAGGACCTCCCTCCTCTTCCTAAATTCAACTTCGAGGTTCACTCTATACTTTGCCCATTTCTTCTGCTCTTCAACTCTTATTCATGCGTATTTCTAGGGTTCCATTTAAAACGATTGTTAATTGTTATGATTCCTTTGAGCCTATGTTTTTATTTCTTGTCTAATGAATGAATTGGTGTTTAGAATCACCCGATGCTTGCGAGGGAATATGAGAGGGTGAGAGCTGGAAAGCCGCCGGTACAGATAGATACTTCACGATATGGACTTGAAGTGCCGCCACTGAACAAACGCAATGATGAAACTGCATGGAAACAAGCGCTTCAAAAAGCTCAGCGTTTACTGCAGCATCAAGTAATCAGGTAACCTACTTGTAACCGGTGATTGTATGGATTATTTAAAAAAGAAATTGTTTTGCCAATTATTAGCTTATATGCCTGCAAAATCTAGTCACCGTGGTGTTTAGGTGAACTTGGGCGACTTTCAGTTCCTCAATAATCGTTTTTTTTCTTGGTAAAAGAATTTTTTTTTATTTCCATTTGCAATCTGTACAGGCAGAACTAACTGGTGGTGTTTAGGTGAACTTGGGCGACTTTCAGTTCCTCAATCGTTTTTTTTTGGGTGAAAGAATTTTTTTTATTTCCATTTGCAATCTGTACAAGCAGAACTAAACTACTGCAGTTTGACATCTCCAAACCGCAGCAAAGCAACTAACCAACTATGACATCTACTACTAACCACCTGAAACTACCAAGCTCCTTCTAACAGGATAAAAATTGAGCTTTTGTAAGTGTTACTTTTAGTCTACTCCTTGTGGATCCTCTATAAAGAATCCCCTGAATAATCCTCCTGACAATAGTTTTCGGATCTGTTTGCTTAGCGTGAAATACTCTTTGATTCCTCTCTATCCACAAGTGACGCACACATGCTGCCAGTGTCATTCGATAAATTTCTGCAGTTAGCATAGTCTTCTGCCCATTTCAGCTCCTCTAACCAAGGCATGGCTGCTCTGTGAATCCCCTGCCATTGTAGTAGTTTACGCCACACTTGAGTTGACATATCACATTGGAAGAGCTGTTGATTTATGCTCTCATTCTGAGTTAAACACAATAGGCGCTCTTTGTCACTTATAGCACCCCACTTCATCAATCTATCCTTACATCGAAAGAAATAAAGTCTTTAAGATACAAAGTTTAGTAGAATAGATGTTGCAGTGAAGAATGAGAAAAGTGCTTCTGCCGAAGGAATAGCTGAGATGCTGTGGTGATAGTGCATTTTCCAAGTTAACTCCTGAATAAAATGATTTCTGTTTGTTTTTTCTTCTATATCAATTCTGATGGCCTGCGCACTGTGTGGAAACATTGTATTTGTCCGGTGTCAGGGAATGTGTTTGTATCTCTTTCAAGTTTCAACAAACTAAGATGCCGGAAAGTTTGTATACAGTCAGAGTCAGTCGGTCATATCCTAACAGAAGAAATATGACTTTTGTGTCACTTTATTACCAAAATTTTTAATCTTTTCTGCTGTTATTTATCAGGAAAAATTCCCTTTGCATCAGTATAGCCTAGGCATCAAGTACTTTGATAGAAATAATCATACCTTTCATTTATTTTGGTCTATTTTTTCCCTTTTTTTGTGTACATAATGCTTGTTCTCGTGCAACCCAAAGTTAACCTTGGTATTCTATAGGCTAGAAAATCTGGACCTGATGTCAAAGCATGGTCCTGATGTGTGGAAGCTGCACAATCAACGACTGGAAGCATTTTTAGCCAGGTTCCTTTTCTTTTGCTAATTTTATGTTCTTCTCTGCCATCTCGTCCTTACTTTACGATTCGCTGCAACTTCTGTCTTGGTGAATTTTTACATGTCCCTTTATTCCATTTTGCTTGGCGATGTTTGATTGGACACGAGGTTAAAGAAAGAAAGAGAACTTTTGGCACATACTAAAAATGCCCTTAGAACTTGTTATCTTAAACATGTCATGACATTCTATGGCTATAAGAACATGTCATTCAAGATAAGATGGGAAATTTAAAGTTAAAAGAATTTTCAACTATAAATAGACGTCATTCATTTTGGAACAGACTAAAAAGAAAAGAATGCTATATAAAAATGGAACAAAAGGAGTAATAGATATTAGACTGAACGTCGTAAAAGAAACTTTCAGGTTTTGGACAAAACTTGACGACTATAGTAACTATTTTGAACTTGGTTTCTAGAGTAAATTGTCTTGCATCGTAATAAGCACTAACATGTTCGTTTTTTAATAAAAAGATGTGATATGGTCCAAGAATGGCCCTTCTCCATTTCTAGTCCAATTGTGATTCGAACTCAACCTTATGATTGGAGGTGTGGGTCCTAGCATACCCTGCACTTGTTTAATATGTTCAATTTTAGTTTTTGACGATGATGGAAGTTGTAAGGCTTCTAACTCTATATACCAACTCAGGACTGTATTAGTAAAAAGAGGCATTATCTTGTCTCAATCGCCCTCTGAAAAGGGAGAAGCTGTGTGACTTTTAATACTCTATATCAGTCAGGAGGAGTATTTATCACTATATTTACACATCTTGAACCAGTTCTATACAGTATTAATATATCGATTGTAAAAAGAGCATGATTCTAGCTCGTCATTTTTTTTTTCTCTGGTATTGCTGCATTCCTTCTGGGGCTGAATATCAAACTAATTTGCTGCAGAATGCAATCACAAGCTGTTGAACTGAATGAAATGATTGAAACCGTAAACAGGGAAAGGAAATATCATCAGGTATAAGTATCTTCTGTTACTGCTGATCTATTTCTATAGTGTCTTGCATTGTTCTAATTGATCTGTTCTTCACTGCATATCAGCAAACTACTGCATATGAGCTCAGTGCGTTGTCCATGCAATGGAAAGAGCTCTGTCTGAAAAATATGGAAATCCAATCTGCTTGTGGGGAACTGGAAGACCACATAGAACAACTGAAGAAGGAGGCTCAAGAGAGGTCTGTTTTGTATTGCATACCTTCTATGACTTTTCTGGTTTTGATATGCTAGTTTATAAGATGTTTACCTCTTTTATGGCAGGGACTGGAATTTGGAGGCTAATGTTGAGAATAGCAAAATGCTGTATGCAGAATGATGAGGTATTGAATTGTTACTATTATGGTTAGTTTCTGTCCTCATTACTGCTGTGATTATGCTTGTCTTGAGCCGAGGATCTATCAGAAATAGCCTCTCCTCTCTATCTATACAAGGTAGGGATAAGGTCTGCGTACGCACTACCCTCCCTAGATCCCACTTGTGGGATTACACTGGGTTTATTGTTGTTGTATCCTTTTTCTCTATCCATTGATTTGATTAGTTCATTAGTTGTCAATGGTATTAACATGTATAGGAGAAAAATGAGATAACAACATAAAAAGACAAAAGTTTGGGAGGTACAAGAGTGAGCTAGGTTGAAGGAATTGGAAAATGGATTAGAGGGTTGAAATGAGTGGAAAAGACTATACAGGAACAGTGCAGAATATAAATAAAAAGTACAGCTCTGTAAGCTTTAAGAACCAACTGTGTGAGATGAAAGGCCTAAGCTTTAAAATACTAGTTGGCTGAAGTGAATGAAAAGGTGAGAAGAGTGTGTACTATGATCTCCAATTTTCACTTGTGAAAAAAAAAGTGTATGAACTTCAATTTTCTGCAGTTGTCTGACCTTCTACAATTTCTCAAAAAATGACTAATTTTTCCATTCTTTTCCTTCATTTTTCTTCCATTTCCGAACATGTAAAGCATAGTTCGTGGAATTATGTTTCCTTGGCAAAATTCGGGTTGCATACTGGGCCTTATAAAAACCTTGTGGAGGAAGACAATTTTATTACATCGGGTTTGGCTGGGGTTTGTTATGTTGAATCATAAAGGCAGGAGGCACTGTTTTTCTGCTTTCTCTTGTCGATTTCAAAGGGGTGAGAGAGAAACGTCAGAACTGATATTGTTAAGGGAATATGCAGGTGTAGGTCGAGCAATCATGAAGATTTGCGTATACTGGATTTAGATGGAGAAGTTGGACAAAGATTTAAAGTCCTTGCTTTAGGTCGGTATGACAAGCTTTGACCATGTTTTTAGTTGCAATATTCCCTGTTAGCCATTACTTATTAATGTTACTGAGGAATGTCTCCAATGTGAAAAAGGTCACTACCAGCCTCTGTATCTCCCAGTTCTCGGTATACCTGTTCATTTCCTTATCACGGTAACAACTCTTTTATGAATAGCTAATTTTTGCCAGTCAAATCGGTGATTTAATAGTTTTGGTCTTATTATTATTCCCCCCC